CCTACCCTTCTCAGTCCAGTCGAATAAAGAATCTGGGTTTTATCTTGTCCATAAGGCCACCAAAGGGTCTAATCAACAAATAAAGCCATAGCTTTTATTTGTGAATGTGACTGAGAAAGACCCCATGACAACACAGTGGATGACTGTGGGCGAGGGAAGACTGAGCCAAGGAGTCAGGGCTGCAATAGACCAGGTGAGAGGAAGCAAGGACCCAAACTCGTACAGCAGCAGTGTCTATAAAGAGGAAGTGACCAACTAAAGAGAAATGTATAAAGTAGAAGTGATAATAGTTGATGATTGAGTCGAAAGAATGGACAAAGAAACAGAAAGACACAGGCCCCAGTAGCCCATGGATAGGACACTTGTCTCCTAAGGAAGCAGAAAGGCTGACAGAAGATGTATTTTCTGGTCTTTATAAGTTGAAGGAAGGTAACGCCATAGAGGAGGCAGAAAGGTCAGAAAGGAATTATTCCCCTTTATGCTACAGAAAGCCAAAGCTGTCAGTGATAGAGATTCCTCCTCTCAGTCTCTTCTCTTTGACCACACTAGAGGTCATGGCCTTAAAATACACTCCTATGTCGTCCATCCTATGAGAAAGTCGAGAGTCATCAAGAGTACATGGCATGGGAGAATAAAAATGTTCTGGAATTAGCTGATTATACAGCCTTATGGATCTTGTAAAAACCACTGAATTAAACAATTCTACAAAGTCTATTTTTGGTGTCCAGCAGGTGGAGTGGTGGTTGAAGCCCTGGACTCCCACACGGTTAACTGAGATTCAGGTTCTGAAACCAGTAACCCAAAAATCACAATAAATACAGTGTATAATGTAAATATACACTGTATATATACACAGTGTATAATGTAAATATCTAAGTAAATAAATAATTTAAATAATTTTTAAAACTAAATCTAAAAGGTATATTTTATTGTTATGTGAAGTATATCTCTATAATACTGTCATTTAACAAAAGGAATCCTCGAAAAAAAAAAGGGACCAACAGT